CCATCGTGGGCCGCCCCCGCCACCAGGTACGGCGCCGCCCCACTCCGAGCATCTCCCCAAGCCCTGGCACAGTGATGGCTGCGGGTCCCTGCTGCCTCCCAGCCCTCTGTGTGGAGGGGGGACGCCTGGCCCGCTGGGGAGCCCCACGCTGCCGGCCGTGGAGAGGTTGCTGAGCCCCCCCTTTCCTCCCCTGCAGGGCGTCATGGTGGGTATGGGTCAGAAGGACTCCTACGTAGGAGATGAAGCCCAGAGCAAGAGAGGTATCCTGACCCTGAAGTACCCCATTGAACACGGCATCATCACAAACTGGGACGACATGGAGAAGATCTGGCACCACACCTTCTACAATGAGCTGCGTGTGGCCCCTGAGGAGCACCCCACCCTGCTCACTGAGGCCCCCCTTAACCCCAAAGCCAACCGTGAAAAGATGACCCAAATCATGTTTGAGACCTTCAACGTCCCTGCCATGTACGTGGCCATCCAGGCTGTGCTGTCCCTGTATGCCTCTGGCCGTACCACCGGTGAGTGCAAGTGTCCTGCTGGCCCTTTTCCCCAAGCAAGGACACCCAGGACTGGTGCCCTACAGCTGACAAGTGCTCTGTCCCCCAGGGCAGGGCCCTTCGTGGGCTGTGTCTCAGGTGGCTGCTTTTTGTTTCCCCAGGTATCGTGCTGGACTCCGGCGATGGTGTGACACACAATGTCCCCATCTATGAAGGGTACGCCCTTCCCCATGCCATCATGCGCTTGGATCTGGCCGGCCGGGACCTCACTGACTACCTGATGAAGATCCTGACTGAGCGTGGCTATTCCTTCGTCACCACAGGTAAGCCCTATTCCCTCCTGCAAAATGTCCCCCCTCGCTTCCAACCCTTGCACCTCCAGGGGTGCTGCAGCCTCTCACCCCATTGCAAGCTCCGTGAGCGCTCCCTGTTGGGAGTTTGCCTGTGGTTGGGGGTCTGGAGTCCTAGCAGACCTATGGAGGAGATGCAAGCATTCCCTGTTCCTCCTTTGCAATCACTGATGCCTTTGCTTCCCCCTCACAGCTGAACGTGAGATCGTCCGTGACATCAAGGAGAAGCTGTGCTATGTGGCGCTGGACTTTGAGAACGAGATGGCCACTGCTGCCTCTTCCTCCTCCCTCGAAAAGAGCTATGAGCTGCCCGATGGGCAGGTCATCACCATCGGCAACGAACGTTTCCGCTGCCCAGAAACCCTCTTCCAACCTTCCTTCATTGGTGTGTGTGCCCCCTTCCCTCTCTCCTCCCACCAGCTCTCCCCTCTCTCCCGAGTCCTCCCATAGCGCTCTTGCTTTGCACTTAACTTGTGCCCACTTTTCTCCCCTTCCTGGCGCCCAGGTATGGAGTCCGCAGGGATCCATGAGACCACCTACAACAGCATCATGAAGTGCGACATTGACATCAGGAAGGACCTGTATGCCAACAATGTCATGTCTGGGGGTACCACCATGTACCCAGGTATTGCTGACCGCATGCAAAAGGAGATCACAGCCCTGGCCCCCAGCACAATGAAGATCAAGGTAAGGCTGGAGCGTGAAGGACCCAGGCGCAGGAGTAGCCTTCTCTCGCCCTCCCGCAAACAGCGCGCGGGGCTGTGCACACCCCTCTGCCTGTCACCCGCAGCGGTTGCTTGTTTACTGATCTCAGCTCTCTTGGCTTTTTCTAGATCATTGCCCCACCTGAGCGTAAGTACTCTGTCTGGATCGGTGGCTCTATCCTGGCCTCCCTGTCCACCTTCCAGCAGATGTGGATCACAAAGCAGGAATACGACGAAGCTGGCCCATCCATTGTCCACCGTAAATGCTTCTAAACATGTTTACGTGATCACTGCCAACCACGCTCAGGATGACAACCTTCTAGGTTGCAGGCTGCCGAGGACCTGCAACAGCCATGTAACTTTCTATTTTGTAACGATTTCTGGTTACTGTTGCTGCAAAGCTCCACGTGACACAGTGTATGTAAAGTGTACATAAATTAATTTATTTTACCTCGTTTTGTTTGTTTTTAAAACCAATGCCCTGTGGAAGGAAACAAAAAACTTCAAGAAGCATTAAATCATCAGTCATTCTGTCACACCCCTAACGCGGTTGTTTCTGTCATCATTTGCTCGGGTTCTTCCATCGCTTGCTGACATAGTGCGTCGTCTAACAGCGAGGGCAGTGGGTGGTGGGGCTGGAGCTCCCCAGATGGGAGGAGGAATGGGGAGGGGGCAGGACCCCAGCCTGAGGGGCCAGCCCTGCCTGACTTGCTTGGGTTGCAGAGAGCTCGGCGGTGCTGAGAGCAGCCCGGGGGTGCCTGTGTGTTGCATCATGCTGCTGCAAGGTGGGTGCCCGCTGCTCTGCAGCGTGCTCCTCCTAGACGCAGGGGGGGAAAGGGTTACCTGGAGCCTTGGCTTGCAAAGGATTTTATTTGGCTCAGCCTGCCAAAAAAGTAGCCCTGGCATGGTCATGTAGCTCCAAGCTGTGATGGACGGAGGCAAGGCTGGGGCTGAGGGCAGGTGGCTGGTGCAGGTTAAATAGAAAGCTTTCCACTCCACTTATGGGAAGCCCGCCTGCCATCATGCTGTCCCTTGGGGGCTGAGGGCAGCCAGGGCCACTTCCTCACCCTGCCTGACACGCTTGCCCTTGCCTGTGGTCGCACATGAGGGGCTGTCTGCAAAGGGACCACCCCCTCCTCTGCCCTTCCAGACCAGCCCCTCCCGGGGCCAGATCCTTCACGGAGGGACTCCCCGGGAGCCTGAAGGAAAACCCCAGGGGCTTCCCCCTGCTGCAGGCCTTTGCCTGCCCTTTTTGCCTCTGAGGGGGCAGAGCAGAGTCCGAGGTGGGGAAGCTGCCCCTGCCTGTCTCACTTCTCTCTTATTGGGATGGGGGTCTCTGCCCCCCCCCCCCCCCCCCTTTACTTCCACATTCCACCCCACCCCACCAGGTACTCAGGTCCCTTGGGGAGCCACCCTTAAGCCCTGCTAGGCTTGGCACAGCTCCCTGGGTCAGGCCACGTGTGCAGGAGCAGGCAGCCTTTGGAGGAGGACTGCTCGTGTGCAGGAGCAGGCAGCCTTTGGAGGGCCCTGGCAGGAAAGTAGTGCTTGAGTTTTGGGGTGCCCCTTTGCTGTCGGAGACAGCAGTGCTGGGAAAAAAGATTATTTTTTCAGCTAAACTTCCAGCCCAGGAAGGTTTTTTGCTCTGCTGAGATTATGCTAAGGGTGCACGTTTTGTATTTTGGCTGCTTTTACCTGCATTAAAGTGAGACCCATATGTGAGTACACTTTTTTGTAGCCCTATCCCAAAGGAAAAGCCTGCAGGAGGAGCTGACCGGAGACAGCAGTGCTGGGAAAAAAGATTATTTTTTCAGCTAAACTTCCAGCCCAGGAAGGTTTTTTGCTCTGCTGAGATTATGCTAAGGGTGCACGTTTTGTATTTTGGCTGCTTTTACCTGCATTAAAGTGAGACCCATATGTGAGTACACTTTTTTGTAGCCCTATCCCAAAGGAAAAGCCTGCAGGAGGAGCTGACCTGATCCTTCCCTGATATCTGGGGGCAGGGAGGCCCCTGGGCAGCCCTAGGAGCTCCTAAGCCGAGATCCCTTTCCGAGTGACTGGGGTTGGACTGGAAAGCAGAAACACGATTGCTTCTTAAAGACCAAACACGAGCTTTTACTTGCCGTGTGTGCAAGTTGTTGCGTAGTGGCACATATTTCATCTGACAGCTCTGTGTTGGGATCTGGGGAGATGCCTAACTAACGTTAAGTCCTCAGCACTTGACCCCTGATCTCAGGTTCAGTTGTGGCTTAAGTGGTGTTACAAAATGGATTTCAGGACCTGCTTCTGCTGTTTGATTAAAAGGCTATTTTAGAAGAACATATAAAAGTTAAGTTAGAAAAGCAGCCTCGTGGATTAGACAGCGCTCGCTGTGGGGTATCAGCACAGACTCAGCTTTTCCACCTGCATGATTAAAGTTAGGGTCCTAAACCCACAACAGAAGGAGCTGATTTTTGGGGAGAGTGATGCTGAGCCAGCCACCCTCCCTCCAGCCCCATCAAAATCAGTGGGAGCAGGGGATGCTTGCTCCCTCTGAACGAAGACCTAGATTTTGCCGTGCCAAACTTGAGTTTAGGACCGCTCGTGTGAGCACAGCCGTGGGCAGAGGGCAGTCCTCCGGCAGCCAGGGCATTGCACGGGCACTGCCTGGCGTGTGGAGGCTGATGCTGCCACTGGCATCTCGTTGTCTGCTCTCTCTAACAGCAGCATTTTGTCTCATACTAACCCACAGCATCAGGTATTCTCAATAGTCTTAGTGCCGATTTCATCCCGTTGAAGTTAAATGCCAAAAAGTGCATTTTTTACAGCTGAAAAAAATGACTGGTTTATTGTTTTTGTTGCTCAATCAATGAACTGAGACACAATGACTTTTTAAGCCTACCAAACCAAACCTGTTCAGGTTTTAATTTCAAACCAAAACACATTCTTTAATCTGAAACCAGCTTTTTATTTGGGCTTGGGATTTTCAGCAATCGAAGATACAGATTGTTTGGAAACAGGTGAGTTGAATTTTCACATGGTTTATAAGCCTTGGTGTTGGGAAGGCGTTTTGGGAAATTTCGCTTGTGCACAGCAGTCCGGGTTTGGTCTTTGTTGTGCATTTCTCGAGAATTTCATTATCCTCCCTGTGCCTGTAACAGTGCTGTTGGCGGCAGGCGAAGGATCGCCAGGACCAGCATCCTCTGTTTTGGGAGAGGCAAAGGAATAAATGCGACCGCAAAGGAGTAAAAGCGAATAGAAGGAAGGATGCAGGACACCGACGTGCCGTGGGAGGGAGGGTAATGGCAGAATGGCTCTTGCCTGCGCCAACAGCATCCTCTGGGGCTGTAGCTCACTGCTTGCCCCGCAGCCTGCTACATCTGGGGCTGGACCAGTGCAGGACAACCCTCCGTAGCTTGGCTCCGCAGTTGCACCCAGTGGGCAACGCGAGAAGCTGCCCTGGATGCAAATATCACCAAGGGATGGAAAATCTGGAGAAAGAAAGAGTCCTTGAGGGGACAAAAATTATGTGGGGCTGTTTAAATGAGCTCGGTTGGCACGGTCATGACTGGGCTTTGATGTAAGCTTCCCCAGGGTCTGCAGATGTATGGGTCGTTAGCAAAATTATTTAAGAAGCTAAGTAACAGGGAAAACCTGGGTTCTGAGGGACAGGCTTGAAGGAGCCTCTGAGCAGAAGAACAAAGGGGGTCCTGGAGAAGATGAGGGAGCTGAAGGTGCTTCCTAATTTTGTTTTGATAGAGATTTTGCTAATGTGGTAATCTGCATTGCACAGAGAGCAAAAGGTGGCCCAGGATGGGCCACCTCCCACAAAATGTCACGGCTCTGTCCCCCATTTGGGAAAGGGAACTGGCACCCTGATGCACTTCTCCCCTGGGACTCCAAAACCGCAGAAACAAAAAGCACTTTGACCTACAGTATTTATTTGGTTTGGCTTTGCTGAGAGGACCTGAACACCCTCTCAGCACTGACACCAGTGCAGCTCCACTGCGTGCTCAGTTGACTGTTAATCTCCTGTGGGCATTTGGCCGATAATATTTATTCAATGAGATTTAGTAAAAGGACAAAATAGAGGCCACTTGAAAATTACCATTATTTTTCACAGGAAACTTCTAAGCAACACATTCTTTGGCATTCTTTATTTTTGAAAGTGAAGCATTAAAACAAAGCCCTTCAAAGCACAGTTGTTCAAAACTTCAAATGCTTTTATTTTATAAGAAAATGTTTTGCTGTTTCTATTTCATTAATCCACAGAAAAAATTAATCAAATGGAACATTGCCTGTTAGGGTTTCTTTCTTTCTTTCTTTCTTTCTTTCTTTCTTTCTTTCTTTCTTTCTTTCTTTCTTTCTTTCTTTCTTTCTTTCTTTCTTTCTTTCTTTCTTTCTTTCTTTCTTTCTTTCTTTCTTTCTTTCTTTCTTTCTTTCTTTCTTTCTTTCTGAACTGGTATTTTTCTTTAAAAAATAATTAAAACAGCTACACAGATGTTTAGATTTCCATGGTACATCTCCTGGGGCCGGAAAAAGGAGCACATGAGGGTGACTGTAACCTGTTGATCAACCGATGGATAATAGCAGGCAGTGCTGGTGTGGAGGGCTCCCACGTGGGATAGATGCCAGTCAGGGTGGGCAGCTTTAGTGACAGGACCATTCGGAGCATCCCCCGGCTTCTCGCTCTTTCCCAGGAACTGCTGGCAGGTTTTGGGATCCTCTTCAGTCCCTCAGGGGCAGAACAGCCTTTGAGGGACCAAAAGGGTCCGGCTTGAAGCCTGGGGAATTAGTTGCAATTGCAGCTGGCAAAGGCTCTGTTTTTTATTTGTTCAGGACCTGAAAAATAAAGCAGCTTCTGATTGCTCTGCAGCGGGGAAAGCCAGGAGTATTGCTGCCTCCTACTGGGGATGTGCGCTGTGTCTGATGGGGATGAGCAGATGATGGAGAAACCTTTTATTGCCCGGGGGGTCTCCTTCTTCCCCACCCCAAGGCATCCTGTCAACCTTGAAACTACACTGCCCGGTGCAGAACTGGGACCAGCAGCTTGCAAACCTCCAGCACTGCGGCGACCCTCGGCAGCTTATCCTCTTGTGCCTGCAGGGACCACAGCCAAACCCCATCTTGTCTCGGCTGCTTAAGGCCATGCTCTGAAACTAAAGTGTGTGGCTCGGAGGCAGCTCTGGCTGCGGTTGTTCAGGGAGTGCCACAGGCAGCCCAGGAATGAGCCTCTCTGTAACCCCACCTCGGGGAGGTGCGTATATATAGATCCCTGGAAGCAGCTTTCTTCCTTGGCACATCACTTGCACCCATAATACCCTCCAAACATGCTCTCCCTGCCCCCCTGTGCCCTCACTGCTTGGCTTCCAGCAGCTTCTCTCCCTTCCAGGGAAAACAAGGCTTTAAAGCTGAGAAATAGCATTGCTGGAGGGAAAAGGGGGAGGCCTGCCTTATAAAAGGGTTCTCACGCATGCTCAGAGATGAGCAGCATAAGGAGAATGGCAACAGGCACCAGTGCCTGACCCTGGCTCACGAAGGCATGTTTATTTCATTGCAACGCAGCTGG